ATCGTATGCAAATCCACGCCTAAAAAGGCCTTCAGAGGAAAGCCTTCTCTTCTCGATAGCCTTTCCCTCGCTTTGGACGCAAAGAAACGCGAGTTTTGTAATAAAATCTCTGAAAATACTCTTTATTTACACGATTAGTGATTGGAATGAGATTGCGGTGAAGGAGGGCCCCCCTGTTGGAGGGGTTGTTGTGACATCGCTTGGAACTGCTGGTTGTGGACAACTGGCGCCTGTGGCTGCTGATGGACGACTTGTTGCGGTTGTCCGCCGAACTGCTGCTGTTGCGCCGCGTGCAGCGCCTGTTGCTGTTGCTGTTGGAACTGGTGTTGGATCTGTTGCTGCTGTTGAGCGTGCAGTTCTGGGTTCGGCTGTTGCAAGTGCTGCTGACCGCCCATTGGCTGTTGCTGTCCCGCCATTGGGTGTTGTCCTCCCATTGGCTGACCGATCGGCTGTTGGTGGCCTCCCATTTGCTGACCGCCCATTGGCTGTTGGTGTTGTCCCGCCATTGGCTGACCGATCGGCTGTTGGTGGCCTCCCATTGGCTGATGACCGATCGCCTGCTGACCGCCCATTGGCTGTTGGTGTTGGCCTCCCATTGGCTGACCGCCCATCGGATGCTGTCCCGCCATTGGGTGCCCGTATTGTTGGCCGTATTGTTGCTGTTGAGCGAAATGCTAAAAGAGAACGGAATTAGTGACACTTCTTCGCTCCTCTGCACTCACTTCTGGCGCCATCTGTTGGAAGCCCTGTTGCGGGTAATGATAGCCCTGCGGATAGTACTGCGGTTCGTACTGTTGGTACGCGCCGTACTGGTCGGCCATCTGTTGTTGATGGTGTCGTCCCTGCTGTTGCTGTTGTTGTCGCTGTCGCTCGTATTGTCGCAACTCGTCGTCCGAATAAACGCGCGTTTCGTCCAAACCCTTCCAGCCGTCGTCCTTCTCGAACTCCATTCGCGACGTGAACTCCAGGAACTCCTTCTTCGAGATGAGGCCGTCCCGATTCACGTCCGCCTCCTTGTAGATGTGTTCGCGCATCCGGTGGTACTCCTCCTGCATCTCGTTCGGGTCGTCCTCCGCGTTCTTCTCCGAATACATCTTCCGGATCTCCACCGAAAGAATCGCTTCCACTTCCTGCGGATCCAGAAATCCGTCGCCATTTACGTCATGCATAGTGAAGAAGATCTTCGGATTGAACTCTTCGCGCGGCATATGGTCCTGTTGTTCCCACACCTGTTCCAACTGCTTCTTCGAGCCCGGATGGTGGACCCGCGGGTGCTCCTTGTGCTTCGCCTCCATCTCCGCCTTCTTGCGCTCCGTCGCCGCCCTCTCCTCTGCCGTCATGTTATGCAACGCCTCCTGATATCGCAAATCCTTTTCCATTTCGTATTCCTTGA